TGTGTTATACTCTGGAAAAGCAAGTGTTTGTACTGCTCACAGTAGTTAACAGAAACATAAGAATTAAAACTTTCTATAAGAGGTCAGTCCTAAATCTTGTTTTCAAAATTGTTAATGATTGAAATGATGTTGACAAATCAGCATTAATAAGTGCTTAACATTGTAGCTGACAATGAGGTTTGAAAATGAACCTGCAGATAAAGAGTCTACATCTTATATAACCAATGAGAAGATGATACCTGACTTCACTAATTACACCATATATTTTAACAGCCCAAACCGTAAATAAGTCGGGAGAATCTGACAGGAAGAAATGCTGAACATTGATCCTGATGCTTCTGTTTTGCATTTCTTGGGTGATGGGGAAACTGCTGAAAAGTTGTTAAACACACTTAAGCATGAAGATAGTCATGACTGTGTTAATGATGGTGACAACAGTGGCTACATTGTAGACACATGGGAAAACTGCTGAAGGCGTTATGGTAAGAAAGGACACAGCAGTTGGTTAGGTAGAAACATGTTAATAAGGCAGATGACATTGGAGAAATGTACTCAGAAGGCCATCTTGGGTGGTGTTGCTTTACCACTTGAGAATCCTGACCCTGGCCTGTCATCATGCCTGACACCGACCCTCATTGACCTTTCTGTCTAAGATACTCAAGCAGCCAGCAGCCATGAAAATTTATGACACATATAAGCACACATACATGCACAGATATTTAACTTTGGTATGTATTTGAATGTTTACTGAATCCTTCAAAAACAGAAGTAATGAAGTACTATTTTGGTCTACCAATTCTATTTTTATTAGTTTATTACTACATATATAAGTACTATATAAATTATTATCATACAGATAGACTGTAATAGTATTTCCAGTGTGTATCCATTTAATGTGAATACTCACTTTTTTTTTAAAGATTTTATTTATTTATTTTTAGAGAAAGGGAAAGTGATGGAGAAAGAGAGGGAGAGAAACATCAGTGTTCAAGAGATACATTGATCAGTTGCCTCTGGCACAGCCCTAACCAGGGACCTGGCCCGCAACCCAGGCATACGCTCTGACTGGGGATCGAACCCGCAACCTTTTGGTTTGCAGGCCAGCACTCAACCCACGGAGCCACGCCAGCCAGGGTTGAATATTCACTTTCTAAACAAATATTTGTGTTTACTAACCTGAACATGTTTTGACCTTTGAAAAGTCTAGAAATTCTCAATTCCAAAATAGATCTGAAATGTTTTATGAAAAAGGAGGAGACGGTAACTTCCAGAAGAGCAATGACCTTTAGAAATCTTTTATAAAAGCAACAAAATACTGACAAAAGTTGTCAAAATCAGCTTTTTTAGAACTGTAGAAATTAAAGATTTATAACAATCCTAGGAAAGTTTGTTCCTAAAAGTGGCTGAAATTCAGAAAGAACAGAAAGCTCAGTGGCATTTCTGCTTTCCCGGTTTCTGTGCCCCCTTCCTCAGCTGTGTGGCAGCTGTGGAAGCTAACACACTGGCAGCAGAAGGGGCTGTAACTACAGTAGCCTGGCAGCCCTGGAAGGGGAAAGGCAGGTCTGCAGTTCCCCAAAAAACCCTAACTCAGAGAATTTTCACTAATTCACTTCCCTGGCATTTCACAGAAAATCTGGTTTCTCAAGTTTTGTGTGTATTTGACCTGGCTTAGGTTTGCTTTGTGTGAATAATCTTACCCCCGAGGTTTTTTAAGATAGTCTGTGGTGATTGCTTAACAGGATGGCTGTAGGACACAATACTGACAGTTGGCACTAACAAGAGCCTGGCAAAAAAATTTAAAAGAAAACAGTGAGAAATGTCCATAGGGCATTTTGAAAAGGTCTGAAAGTTTCTAAGGAATCTAGAATGATTTCCATGAGAAGGGTTGTGCGCGTACCCAAGAAAGATGGGAGTCAAGGCCCTAATCTGTCACTCCTGGCTGCACTTGCAGGTCTGTGCAAGCAGGACGGGCAGGTGAGTGAGAGCTGCGCGCTGCCTAGAGAGCATTAGGGACTCGTTGCTGCGGAGGTGTCCAACTTTGTGTCGTCTCTGGGCCACACGGGAAGAATTGTCTTGGGCCATACGTTAAATACATTGCAACATCTAATCACACGCCCCCCACAAATTTCATGTTTTAAGTAAACTTACAGTTTTGTGTTGGGCTGCATTCACAGCCATCCTAAGCCACAGGTAGCCTGCAGACCGCAGATTGGACACTCCTGGTTTAAGGCATTTAAGGAAATCTGTCCAGTCATTAGTGAGCAGAAACTTCAGTAGTTGTACACAACAAATAATAAAGGTGTTATGCCTTTAGCCTGGGAAAGTCAGTTAAGTAAACAATAACAGCAGTGTTATTAAACCCTGAGGGACACCCTTGGGGAATCTGATTTCCAAAGCTGCCACATTATGTTATTTAACAGGTTCCATTCACCATAAAAAAAATTATGAGACACAAAGGAACAGGTAAGTATGGCTTATACAGGCACCAAAAAAAAAAAAAAAATCAGTCAATTGAAACTACCTCTGAGGAAACCTAGACTTACTGGACAAAGACTTTAAAATCAGCCACTGTAAATATGTTTAAAAGAACACCATCTAAATAACTCAAAGAAGATATGAGAACAATTTCCACCAAATAGAGATACTTGGTAAAGTGAAAGAATATATATATATATATATATATTTTTTTTTTTTTTTTTTTTTTTTAAAGAAAAGAACCAAATAAAAATTCAAGGTTTGAAAATGAAGTTTAAAGATGAACTCTCAGACTTAGCATCAGGTTTGTGCTGAGAGAACAAAAAATCAAAGAAATAGAAGATAGGTCAATTGAAATTTATCCAATCTGAGGAACAGAAAGTAATAATGAAGAAAAATTAACAGAGCCTCAGAGACTTGGCGGATGCCATTAAAAATACCAACATAAGCATGATAGGAGTCCCAAAAGAGAAGAGGGAGAAAAATAGAAAAAAGGTTATTTTAAGAAAGTGGCTCAAAACTCCTTAAATTGGATGACAAGCATTAATCCACACATCCAAGAAGGTCAACAGTATGGAATATGAAGTTTCTATTGGGGGTGATGAAAGTGTTCTGAAATTGGAGAGTGGTAATGATTGTACAATTCTGAGAATATGCTAAAAACTTTGACTCATTCTCTAAAATGGTGAATTTTAGAGTATGCAAATTGTATCTCAATAAAGATATTTAATTAAAAACAAAAGAGGAAGATATTCTTTATATAATGATGGAAAAATATCCAAAATACATTGTTAAGAGAAATGCGGCACTGTATATAATGTCACTTTTTATAAAGAGGAAGAGAAATAAAATTTGTAATTTGAGCCAACATTTAAAAATATTGTAAGAATTCATAGAAAACTAATAAATATGCTTACCCAGAAGGCTGGAAGTGACGTGTTGATTGGTGTACAGAGATATCTTTGGAAACGAAACCTTTCTGTATATCTTTTTATATCAGTTATTTTAAACTACATGCATGCATGATTTTTTTCAAAAGACTTTCTGAATTCTTTTGGGGGTTTATTGGGGAATTTAGTAGGGGAAATAGGCTATAAATAATTAAATATTTTTTGTTTAGTTTTTCTTTCGATTTTATTTCATAAATTGATGTTTATATGTCCTAATACGTAGCAGATAAATTGAATACTTGAAATTTAATATGGGTAGACATTTCCCAGACTGGCTTTTTATTGTCATTCAAATGTTTCAATGTTAAATGAGAGCTGTTTTAGAATGTTGGATACATTTTCCTCTATAAACGACACAATAAATAATGAGGAAGTAGCCCTGAGTGGCTCGGTTAGGTGTCACCCTGCAAAACAAAAGGTTGCTGGTTCAATTCCTGGTCAGGGCACAGGCCGGGGTTGCAGGCCGGTCACCAGTTGGGGCGGATGTTTCTCACATGGATGTTTCTCTCCCTCTCTTTCTCCCTCTCCTTCACGCTGCCTAAAAATAAGTAAATAAAATCTTAAAGTTGATTTACAAAATAAAAGAATGAGGGAGTACATAAAAATGTTCTAGATTCAGTGGTCACTTTACAAAAGCTGACTATAGTGTTGCTGAACTGTATAACAGATAGATGAGTATAGAATAGTCTTATTTGCTGAATTAAGTCAAGTTTTTCTAAAGTTTAAGTATCTTGGCCAGGAGTTGACACGCTTTGCCTATGGAGGCCCTTATAATGAATGTGTTAGGCTTTGTGGGCCAGAATGCTTCAGCTGCAGTCACTCACCCCCCGCCCCCGCCCTGCCCCAGTCTAGAGAAGAAGCGTAGATAATATGTAAACATCTGGACGTAGCTGTGTTCCAGTGAATTTGTTTTGTTTTGTTTTGTCTTGTTTTTTAGATAAAACAGGCTCTAGGTTTGGGCCGTGGGCCCCCGTTTCCTAGCCCCTGACCTAGCGTATTGTTTAGTGGGCAGAGGAATAAATGTACTCTATTTCTTAACATAAAGAATACATCTCCCTTTATTCTGTCAATGAGAGTGGCCTTTTTTTTCTGTCACAAGCACAGATAGTTCCTGACATCTATGTTTGTGGAGGCAACATAGTTACCTTTTAGGAAATTCATCTTAAGTTTCATGACTGAAGCCAAACTATGAAGTAAGAGTTTGCCTGAGTACCTAGTGCCGTGCGTTCCACATCTTTACCACTGTCCACGTTGCCCTAGGATGTAGTAGAAGAGAACACCAAGGTGGAATTAGATCTAGATGCCACGATCAGCTCGACCTTGGAGAAAAAACTGGGTCTCAGTTTCTCTACCTGAGCTTCGGTGCCCCCGTGTGTAACACGAAGACATTGGACTAGAGATAACATTCAGGATCTCTTCTAGCTGTAAAGATGGCATCTAGGACATTCTGGTAGGAGCAAATGACTACTACACATGCATACTAAAATAGGAACTTCATACATAGTTTTCTGAGAAATTTTTGCTTTGAGAAATGTCAGCACGGGTAAATAACTGTTGCACATGTTTATCCTCTAGGGGCTAAGATGGATCTTGTACTCAGTGCTGCAGATTATTATGTTTTCACGCCATACATGTATCCAACCACCTGGCCAGAGGATGACTTCTTTCGACAAACTATTAGTCTCCTGATTATAACAAATCTTGGTGCTTATATCCTTTATTTCTTCTTTGCAACACTGAGTTATTATTTTGTCTTTGATCATTCATTAATGAAGCATCCACAATTTTTGAAGGTAAGTGATTTCCTTATCTATTTTTAACTACTATTACAGTAAAAATAACAATATAATGAACTTGAACTATTCAGATTAAATTGATTATAAGCATTAAATAAAGTTTTTGAAACCACACCCAAATGAGTTTTATGTTTTTCAGGCTAATCCTGCCTCTTCCTTAATTTAAACAAATTGATGAATCCAAACCTCCTCCCCCCAACTAAAAGCCTGGTGTTTTGTTAGTTACATAGACTCTCTTTGCTAATAGTTATGAGTAAATAAATGCATACATTTAGGTAGTTATTTTAATATTTGACTCAAACTGAAATATATTTTTACTATGTATATTTTTCTTCTACTGGCTAGAGAACCAAAACTTAGTAGTTTTAGATTGTTTACAGTCATTTTTCTATTTCAGTTATTTTTACTTGTCAAATACAAATCTCAAATACAAGTCTCCAAGGACTAGGAAAAAAAATGGGCTAGGGATGGAAGTTAATTATGAAAGAAATGGTTATTCAGTAGATGGAAATTTAGAATACAGATTTTGTTGGAAGGAGAATAAGTTTGAGAATTTAAAGTATTGTTTTTGCTCTTGCTCTGTAGAAAGGAATTTTTTTTCTTTTTTTCTTACACACCCATTCCCATTAATAACATTTTAATAGAAACATTTTGGAAATAAGCTTGTTAATATAAAAGATTCTAATACTCCAACCCCAAAGAACTTTATGTAAGTTTTGTTTAATAGACGGTTTGTGATTTTTTTTTTAATTAATTTATTTACTTTTTAAATACATTTGTCTCTGCCTTCCCCCCCCTCTTTCCCTTGCCCCCTCCCACCTTCCCTCCCTCAGCTCTTCCCCTTTGGTTTTGTCCATGAGTCCTTGCTATATGTTCCTTGACTTTCCCCTTCCCTTCCCTTTCCCTGCCCCCCCCTTCCCTCTTGTCTCTGTTGATTTCTTTTCCTTTCAGTGTTGCTGGTCATATTTGCCTTGCTTCTTTGCATTGTTGGTTAGGTTCCGCTTATAGGTGAGATCATATGGTATTTGTCTTTCGCCCCCTGGCTTATTTCGCTTAGCATGATGCTCTCCATTTCCATCCATGCTGTCGCGAAGTTTAGTAGTTCTTTTTTTCTTTCTGCTGCATAGTATTCCATTGTGTAAATGTACCATAATTTTTTGATCCAATCATCTACTGATGGGCATTTAGGTTGCTTTCAACACTTGGCTATTGTAAATTGCGCTGCTATGAACATTGGGGTGCATAGGTTCTTTTGAATAGGCGTTTTGGTGTTCTCAGGGTATAGTCCCAGCAGGGGAATCGCTGGATCAAAAGGCAGTTCCATTTTCAGGTTTCTGAGGAAATTCCACACTGCTTTCCATAGTGGCTGCACCAGTCTGCATTCCCACCAACAGTGGACTAGAGTTCCCTTTTCTCCACAGCCTCGCCAGCACCTGTTGTTTGTGGATCTGTTTATGATGGCCATTCTGACCGGTGTGAGGTGGTACCTCATGGTGGTTTTGATCTGCATTTCTCTAATGGCTAGTGATGCAGAGCATCCTTTCAAATGCCTCTGGGCCCTCTGTATCTCCTCCTTAGAAAAGCATCTGCCCAGGTCCTTTGCCCATTTTTTGATTGGATCGTTTGTCTTCTTGGAGTCAAGTCGAGTGAGTTCTTTGTATATCTTGGAGATCAAACCTCTATCTGATGTATCATTAGCAAATATATTTTCCCAAATGGTTGGCTCCCTTTTCATTTTGCTGATGTTTTCTTTAGCCGTGCAGAAGCTTCTTATTTTGATGAGGTCCCACTTGTTTATTCTTTCCTTTATGTCCCTTGCTTTAGGAGACATATCAGTGAAAAAATTGCTGCGTGGGATATCTGAGAGTTTCCTGCCAATGTTCTCCTCTAGGACTTTGATGGTGTTGCGACTTATATTTAAGTCTTTTATCCATCTTGAGTTTATTTTTGTGTATGGTGTCAGCTGATGATCCAATTTCAATTTTTTTGCATGTAGCCATCCAGCTCTCCCAACACCATTTGTTGAAGAGGCTGTTATTGCTCCATTTTATGCTTCTGCCCCCTTTGTCAAATATTAGATGTCCATAGAGACCTGGGCTTATTTCTGGGCTTTCTATTCTGTTCCACTGGTCTATGGGTCTGTTCTTGTGCCAGTACCAGATTGTTTTGAGTATAGTGGCTTTGTAGTAGAGTTTGATGTCCGGTATTGTGATCCCTCCTACTTTGTGTTTCTTTCTCAAAATTGCTGCGGCTATTCGAGGTCGTTTATGGTTCCATATAAATTTTTGAAATGTCTGTTCTATTTCTGTGAAATACGTCATTGGTATCTTAATAGGGATTGCGTTGAATCTATAAATTGCTTTTGGTAGTATGGACATTTTAATGATATTAATTCTTCCAATCCATGTGCACGGTATATGCTTCCATTTATTTGTGTCTTCCTTAATTTCTTTTTTCAATGTTGTATAGTTTTCTGCATACAGGTCTTTTGTGTCTTTGGTTAAATTTATCCCTAGGTACTTTATCTTTTTTCGTGCTATATCGAATGGTATATTTTTCCTGATTTCTTCTTCTTCTATTGCATTGCTGGTGTACAATAACGCCTTTGATTTCTGAATGTTGACTTTGTATCCTGCTGTTTTGCCAAATTCACTTATTAGGTTGAGGAGTTTTTTGGTAGAGTCTACAGGGTTCTCTATGTACACTATCATGTCATCTGCAAACAATGATAGTTTTACTTCCTCCTTTCCTATTTGGATGCCTTTTATCTCTTTCTCTTGTCTGACCGCTGTGGCTAGGACTTCCAATACGATGTTGAAAAGGGTTTGTGATTTTTAAGTGTTGGAAATTTCATTTTCAGAATCAAGTCTATCGAGAGATTATGTATACTGTCCAGGCACTACCATGGATGAGTATTCCCACCGTTTCCCTGTTCCTGCTGGAATTGAGAGGTTACAGCAAATTATATGATGACATAGGAGACTTCCCCCATGGTAAGTAAGTAAGTAATCCAAATGTCAGGCCTTTTCCTAAAGAGCCAAATCAGTTGTTTTTAATATTCTTCAATTTTTTTTAAAATTTTATGCATTTATGTCTTGCCACATACATGCATTTATTTAAGTTTATCAGTTTTAAAGTCTCTGTTTTTGATGAAATTATGCCTGGGGGAAGAGGCTGAGATCAGATATAAGCCTTTGCATTTGTTTCCTGTTACCTGTACTGAGTTCAGACTTCAGAAAGAAAAAAAAGAAAGTAACTCAGGTTGGGCATGGCAATTAGGGAAACTCAGAAAATACAAATTTTAAATATCAATTATCTTTCTACCTAGAAACTGTAGATCTTTTGATGTTTATCCTCTCACTTTTCTTTGCCTTGTATGCTGTATTATTTACATTACAAAAATGAAACTTGACTGTGCACACTGGTTTGGACTGTGATTTATTTCCTCTTAGCAATATATATGCCCATGTTTTCGTATCTATGTTGGCATTATGTAGTATGTTAGTTGTAGAATCTCATTTTGTAGATATACACAGTTTATTTAAATGATATCTAATCTTTAGAACTTCAGGTTGTTCCTTTTTTGTCCATTTTAAACAGCGCTGAAGCAACTAAACGTTTTGTGAAATTCTTAAATGATTCCATCAAGATACATTTCTGGTGTCTAGCATTAGGAAATAAGAATAATAGTTAACATTTATTGAGTGTTAATAAATACCAGCTATAGTTTTAAGCTTTTCACATGTATCAATTCATTGTGTTGCATATCAGTTATTTGAGGTAGGTACTATTATGCTCCTTTTATAGGTTAGTAAGTTAAATTTACAGAAAATGGTAGTAACTTTCCTAGGTTTCTCAACAAGTAAAAGTGGTGGATCTGCACCAGCACCTCTGCTTTCTAAGTAACAGGTTAGTCAAAGGAGGGAACAAAAATCACACTAAGGTGATGAAATTGACTAGGCTTTGAAAAGTAATGGGATGACGAGTAAAAATAAAAGGAGGGAGGACGTTCTAGAGACATGGAGCCGTATGAGAAAGGTACAGAAGTAAGACTTTAAGGATGCTGGGAGGACATGGAGCGAGTCAGCCTGGTTAGTGCAGGAACAGATGAGGTTGGCAAGATCAGAAAGGGTCAGGTCACCGAGTTAAAGCTCAGTTTAAGATGTTTAGTGGAAAATAAAATTCTAAGCAAGGAGTTAATTAATGTATAAAGATGTTTATGAAGAAAAGTTATTAGAGTTATTCTGAGAGATTTGAATAATAAAGATATTTCAGGAGTATCTTTCTCTGTCTCATAAATATCTTAATAGGTTAAGAAATAGTGTAGGTGGGAATCTTCCAAGTTTTTATATGAGGGAAATGAGTAATTAAGCAGTTTCCAGAGAGTGAAGGGAAATTAATTTATAATATATTTAATTAGGCAAAGCAGACAGTTTATGGTTTTGAGTGTAGGGCCATATTTTGTGTTGAGACATGTAAAAAGTAAATGCTGATCCTGGAAGCTGAATCTAGATTCTGCTATGTACCGTTCTCTCTTCCAGGCTGGTTCCACCTCATTGTTAGTGTGCTGTCCTTCCTCTTTTTCACTGACATGCTCATCTACTGGATTCACAGAGGCCTTCATCATAGACTTGTCTATAAGGTAGAGTCATTTTTAGGGGGGGAAATGACACATTTCAGCAGTTTGTGGTTATAAATCCTCTATTTCCAAGGATTTTCTCTGTAGTAAATACCACCACAGTCGTGACAAATAGTGGGTATGGTTTGTTTGTATATTTTGAGTTTGGAGAGTTTATGCTAACATTTTACTATTTTGGGGTAAAGAGGGTATTTTATCAAGTGATTTTGCTGATTTCAAAGATATGTTTTGGTTAAGTCATGTCCACCACTTGAGTGTGAGAAGGTAAGTTGATTTTGCATTGCGTGTAGTGTGTGGAGCTAATGTTGTTCTTCCCTCTGCAGCGCATACATAAACCTCATCATGTCTGGAAGATTCCTACTCCATTCGCAAGTCATGCTTTTCACCCTGTGGATGGCTTCCTGCAGAGTCTCCCTTACCACATATACCCTTTTCTCTTTCCATTGCACAAGGTGGTTTATTTAGGTTTGTACATCTTGGTCAATATCTGGACGATTTCCATTCATGATGGTGATTTTCGTGTCCCCAAAATCTTAAAGCCATTTATTAATGGCTCAGCTCATCATACAGATCACCACATGTTCTTTGACTATAACTATGGACAGTATTTCACACTGTGGGATAGAATTGGCGGCTCATTCAAAAACCCTTCCTCTTTTGAAGGGAAAGGACCACTTAGTTACGTGAAGAAGATGACGGAGGAAAAGTCCAATGGCCGTGCAGGAAATGGTTACAAATATGAAAAATTATTCACTGGAGAGTTTTCAAAGACTGAGTAGATTATTGCGAAATTATTAAATATTTTTAATTAGAAAAATAATCTATATACAGCCAAGAGACGTAGCAAGTAAATGGTATCATTTGAAAGGCAGCATTGCAGGAACTGCAGACGAATGATCATAATGGCAGGTGAGGGCGGAAACTGTGAACACGAGGATTTTAAACTCGTTCTTAAAATACACGAAGGTGGTCTAAGGGACCACCTGTGTCTTTCCATCCAACATCGCTGTAATTTGTATGGCCTCCACAACCATTTTTTAATAAGATAGTAAGTAAATTACTGAGGGGACTAGGTTATGTCCTTTTGCCTTAATCTACTATATTCATTAAGAAAAATTCATTGTGCTTAATAATACCAAGACTAAGCACCATAACAAAGAAATACTAGTATAAAGATGGTTTCTTGTTTCAGGAATAGTTGTCTTTGGTTTTGGTGTGATTTGTTATGTGGAAACATCAGTGTGAAGAAATATTCTAATATAACATCTTAGTGGCTTTGTAAATGCCCTGATTAATAGCACTGTAATTAGACTGTCACTTCCTACACACATAGGGAATTTATTCTCTGGGGGCACTGTTAAACAATCCATTTTACTGATGAATAAATTTAGGATTTTAAAAAATTGACCATGATTTAATTCAGATCTGGGATTATTTAAAGATGTTGATGGTTATTATTTAAAACCATTATTTAGTAAAAGTATAAAAATCTGTGAATCTGTGCAGTGTTCCCCCCTTATTTGTGGGGTGTATATTCCAAGACCCCCAGTAAGTGCATAAAACTGCAGCTATTTCCAAGCTACATAGTTTGGATATCTGTATTTCCAAACCATATGTATGTAGTTTGGAGAGAGATATATATATCTATATATCTACATATAGATATATATGTTTTGGAAATATATATACACACATACAACATACACAGTATGTTTTTTCTGTACATACATAGCTATGATAAAGTTTAATTTATAAATTAGGGACAGATTAACAACAATAACTAAAAATTACTGTAGTTAGAAAATTTGATACTCAAATAATATATTTGACACTACTGATTTTTTAAATTAAGTCGATGCACTGCACTTTTTTATTGTTCAATGTATTTTGAGGAAAGTGAAATGTAAAGTATTGTTTTTATGAAAATCTTACCACAGAAGCTCTTCAACATTTAAAGGTGATAACCATTACTGATAAAATATGACATTGTTCATATGATTCATAGGAAAATAACAAGATCTTCACTGAGAATTTTCTAATTTCTCATACAACCCTGAAACCATATATGTCAAAAATCACAAATAAAGACAAAATTGGTTCAGTTTTCAAATATGAGTGGAATGTGTCGTATTGAATTAATTTTACAAAATAAAATATCCAATGGCACTATTCATTTTGGCTGGATGCATTGCACTTTTGATGTTTCAATGTTACAAACCTATAATTTTCTATTAACAGGAATATTTAGGCCTGTCTCGGAAGATTAGTTTTGAAATATTCTCCCTCTTCTCCCCTCACTTAAATATGAAACCACAGCCCTGACCAGTGTGGCTTAGTTGGTTGGCCATTGTCCTGTAAAGTGAAAGGTTGCTGGTTCGATTCCCAGTCAGGGCACATACCTGGGTTATGGGTTAAGCCCCTGGTCAGGGTGTTTGCAAGAGGCAACCAGTCGATGTTTCTCCTTTCTCCTTCCCTTCCCCTCTCTCTAAATAGGAATATATAAAATCTTTAAAAACAGAAGTGATGTGGACTATCAAAACTGTTTTAGAATGTCCCTAAATGCTCAATGTCAAGGGAAGAGAGAATCACATTTCTGTTTCACATTTTTATTAGACTTGATTGTTTTAGCACTGATTTTATGAGACTGTTCATAAAATTTAATGGTTGGGATCGAGATGAAAATTTTTCTCTTCAGGTTGCTATTACAGTGTTTGTCTTACTTAAATACACAATGTACTAATTAGTATTTTTAACTGGTAAATGCATCCTAGTGCTTTTTGCTTACCACCTCCAACCCCTAGTACTCTGCTTTGCCCAAGAAAAAGAAGGAAATTAAGAAGTAAACTTTGTTTCCTCGTAATTATAGGAGCTAAGATTTATTGAGCTTTTACTCTTGATCAGGCACTGTTGTAAATACTTGACGTGAGGAAACTGGGACCCAGTTGCATAATTTTTCCAAGGTTATTTCTCTCTCGTATATTTCAGTGTGGATGTTACTGGCAACAGGCAACCTTCCATAGTCAGTCTGAGTCCCAGGCTCCTTCTGTCTGAGGAAACGACCTTCTCCCAGTCAGTTGAAGGAGCACGTAAAAGAAGAGAGAAAAGCATACATGGAAAATGTTTGGGTCAGGCCTAGTAGTCATGCATACCCCTTGCATGTGTTCCTTTGGACAAAACTCAGTTATGTGGCCCATCTAACTGAAAGAGATTCAGAGAATTTGGAAACATGTCTAATTGTATAGCTGGGAGACGAGGTAACCAGTTTCTTGAACAGTTAGCTAGTCTGCCATAACCTTATCATTTATTCCCCTTTTTTGAGGGTTCCAATAAAAGTATTGAAGAGAGAAATACACTCAAAATTATCTTGTTTTCCTTGCACTAGTTGTCTTTGTGTTCTTAATTCATACACTCCAATTATAAATGTAAAGTTTGCTCTAGATTCTTACTACTGTGTAGCTAATAGAAAAGAAAGCATAATTTATGGGAAGAGGGAAGCTTCCTCAAAGGTAGTCGAAGTCATCTCGGCCCTCCCATCTTTTCTCTTAAAGCCTGGGCTTTTTGAGCAGTACTAGTTAAGCATTATGAACGTTTGTTTGTGCACCAACATCTGTTCTCCATTAAAGGAATTCAGGGAACATTCATTAAAGTGAGGATTTAAGTCCATTCCACAGGAATATCAAGTGAAAAACGTTTTCCCTTGACTTTGAAACCGTTTATACTTACAGGACAGGAAGGGAAAAATCACGGTTATAGTTTCCACTCTTAGGTTAAAAATTGGAAAATGGATGGAGGTGGTACAGAACCCAGAAACCTTTCCTGAATCCTCAGCTTCCCCCATGTCTTCTCTCCTGCCCTGTCTCCTTGTGTCAGGATTCTGCGATTGCCTGCTTCTCATCTCCCTGTGTCATTTCCTCTCCCTCACAGCTTCCAGAAGTTAGAGACAGATGTGGGAAAGAATTATGACTTCAGTGTTTGATACACGGAGTTTACAGGGCAGGTTGATTATGCAGAGATGCTGTCTGGGAGGAAGATGAAAAGTAGGGACACAAATGAGAACAATATATAAGGTCAAATGCTAAGGAGAGCATGACAAACATGATGTCAAAGAAACAAACCAAGTGAAGGGGAAAAAAATCTCCCTTATTTTTCTAACTTCAAATTCAAAACACTTGATAAGCAGTCTGTGTCAGTATTGACTGCCTTCTATCATCTATCATTATTATGTGTGCTATTTATTCTAGACCCCAAATTCTTAAAAGAGATCATGTGTGGATCATGGTCGTATTAAGCCACATGTCCTTACAGAATCGGAATGCCCGAGACATGGTTGAGGTTCAATAAATACTTTGCTGAATGAATTCATGAAGTGGTGGAAATGCCATTCTCTTTAATAAATATTTAATGAACACCAACTAGGTGCCAAACACAACTGGGTGCAAATATTTAATCCCAGACTCTTAAACACTGTCTCTTAACAATTTGTTTCTAATTTATTCATTAGCTGGCTTTCGCTGTGTGCCTTGGGATGGGGTGAGGGAATCACAAAGAGAACTAAAGGGAAATCAAAGAACCTACATCAAGAAAAGGCTCTATTCGGAATCAAGATGGCAGAGGTGTAAGTGGAAGTCACACTGACCTCCTCCCAGGACCAATCTGGAATTACAACTAAATTGTGGAGAAATCACCTGGAACAAAAAACTGAACAATAGCAAGAGAGAGCCTTGTAACGTTGGACAAAAGAATTAGCTTTAGCACAACCTAACTGGTAAGGAGTGCAGTAGAGACTCGAGAAGGTGGGCGGGGCACCCATGAGTGGCAGTACCAGAAGGATATTGAAACAGCTAGTTGGATCCTCCTGAGAAGAGCAGGGTCTAAACCATAAGCAGGGATCTTCAGCCTACAGCACCAGAGCCCAAAAAGTACGCAAATAACAGCTAGCTACAAAAAAGCAGGGTTGCCCTCTGCCAGAGACAGGCAGCTGAAGATGCAAAAAGATGTTTAAAGGGCCAAGGCATAAATTTTTATTTGCAGCCACTTACCCTGGTCTCTGGCAAAGGCGGGGGGTGGGGCAGAATGGGCTAGGGACGCCTAAGGAGAGACTGAGGAAGGAGGCTTTGGGGAGAGAACACAGAGAGTAGCCAGTGGGATCCTGGTGCTGACTCATCCCCCATGTGGCAGCCACCATCATGCTCAAGCAGACCACTCCGCTGAGCAGAAACAGCATGAGAGGACCCTGCCCTGGCCCTGTGGTGCTAAAGCCTGACTGCTGAGTACAGAGTGGGAGCCACAGATAGTAGATACCTGGATAAAGAGGGCACAGAGTGGTCTATTGACACTTGAAAAGAGGCTGAAGATGGAGGCTTTGGGGAGAGAACTGAGAGAGTGGCTGGCGGGAACCCGGTGGTGACTCCTTCCCCATATGGCAGCAGCCATCTGTTTCAGACAGGCCACTCCCCTGAGCAGCAGCAGAGGGAGGGGGCCCAAAAACCCTGCCCACAGAGGGACTCTGCCTTGCCCTAAGGTGTCTAATCCTGACTACTGAGTGCAGAGTGAATAGATTAACAACTGAAGGAGACTGCCACAGACAGAAGGTTTGTGGAAGTCTCGAACAGACTGCCTAAGGTCAGACAGGGTCAACATCTGACATTAGAGGAAGATCCAGAAAGAAAAAACTGCAGTCTCCTGCCTTAGTTCACACCACAAAGTCAGGAAATCAAGACAGATCAATTTAAGAAGCAGAAGCAAAAGGAGAGTCTCACAAATAATGGGAAGACAAAGAAACCCCCACCCCCAGTTGAGGGAAAGGAGGAATCCCCAGAAAGGGAACGAAATGAAATAGGGGCAAGTAAAATATTAGATACTGATTTCAAAACAATGGTTCTAAGGAAGCTCAATGAGCTCAGTGAGCTCAGAGAGAATTACAAAAAACTACAGGGCTACTACAAGGAACTTACTGCAAACTATATCAGCATGAAAAAGAATACAGAAACTATCAATAAGAGACAAGAGGAAATGAAGAATACAATTTCTGAATTGAAGAACGCAGTAGAGGGAATCAAAAGCAGGCTAGATGAAGCAGAGGAACGAATCAGCGAGCTGAAGGATAAGGTAGAAGAAGGTCCCAGAAAGAACAAGAAAAATAAAAAGACTCACAAAGAATTAAGAGGTGTTTAGGGAAATGCAGGACAACCTGAAATGTAATCATATCCATATAATATGGATATCAGAAGGAGAAGAGGATGAGGAAGGGAGAGAGAACCTGTTTTATAAAGAAATGATGGAAAACTTTGCTAATTTGAGGAGAGAAAAAGTCACGCAAGTCCAGGAAGCACAGAGGGTCCCATTCAAGAGGAACCCAATGAGGCCAACTCCAAGACACATCATCATTAAAATGGCAAATAGCAAAGACAAACAGAATCCTAAAGGCAGCAAGGGAGAAAGAGGTAGTAACATATAAGGGAGCCCCGGTATGGCTAGCAGCTGACTTCTCAGCAGAAACACTACACGCCAGAAGGGAATGGCAAGAAATATTCAAAGTCATGAAAAGCAAAGGCCTGCAACCAAGACCAGTCTACCCTGCAAGGCTCTCAATTAAAATGGAAGGCAAAATGAGTTTCACAGACAAAAGAAGGCTAAAAGAATACACCTCTACCACACCAGCATTGCAAGATATGCTAAGGGACTGCTTTATGAAGATGAATAAAAAGAGTCTATGAATACCCAGTTCCTTTCACAGTCACTAATACTTGATATTACCAATACTTTTAATATTTATTAATCTGATTGTGACAATGATGTGTTATTTTCATTGTTACTTCATTATTTGTTGAGACTACACCTGTTTTAGTATATTTCTTGCCTATTTTGATTATTTTTAGAAAGCTTTAAATGACTTTTTGGTATTTATACATTTTTTGATTAAATGTTTGTAGAATTTTTTTCCCTAAAATACCCCCAAACTATTAACCCTTTCTTAGGTGTGTTGCGAACAGTTTCCTATACTATTACCTGTCCTTTAACTTTTTTAATAGGCATATTACCATATAGTCTTAAATGTTTAATATAGTCATATTGTCAATATCTTACTTTATAGTTTCTGGGTTTGAATATGTGATTTCAGGGTTAAAAAATATTATTTTGTATTTTCTCCTAAAACTCCTTGGATTTCAAATATTGATTTTTAA